GTGGGATGTGGCTTGGAGCAACGTGGCCTGGTGGGAGGTGTCCCTGCCCAGGGCAGGGGTGGAATGAGATGTTCTTTAAGATCCCTTCCAATTCCAACCACTCCATGATTCAACACACAGCACTTGGAACTGCAGCAAGAAGATAGAAACCCTTCTAATTTTTCAGTAAGACGATCAACACATGGACCAGTGTGAAAATCCTGCCAGGGACCTGCCTCAAAAAACAGCCTCAAGTTTTCCTTTCCAGGCATTGGAAAGACACTTTACCCAGTGTCATTGACCTCAATTTATTGCCTATGTCTGGACAATCCAAGTTATCCACTTGTTCTGCTCCAAGTCCATGTAGAGGATTTTAATAAGCATCATATTTCAGTGTTAGGACCTGTGGTCTGGCCATGGACTTATTAAAACCCACAGCAAGACAGGATTTGAAAATCCACTTAAAAGGCAAGAAAAAGCAGATATTCAAAATATCTACTTAAAAGAAAGGAAAATTGAGGCATTTTCCTGCCTAGCTAAGCAAACTGGAGCTTTCCTTCCCCAGCTAAGTCAGGGATTTCCTGACCTGGTCCCATAACACCTGATTAGGAGTTGCTAAGGCATCAATCAGAGCCCTGGTTAGCCATTCATCATGCAGACATACAGCAAGATTTATGAGTGACTGCAAAGTTTGCAACATCTCATTCATCTAGAACAAGGTCTTTGCCTCTCTGCTCTGTGGTTGAATTCTGCCATCTGTGGGCTCCATTTCCATCAGTCAAACCACCAGAGCTGGACACAGAGCAGGAGAACAAAGAGCTTTTTCTCCAAGTGCTCCTTGGAAATGAAAATGAATACCAAGTGTGTGATTAAAAAAAGCAATATTTATGGATTTGGAGGCCTAATTCAATTCTCAGATTTCCAAAGGTCACAGCACTGTGTGGCCTGTCCATCACAGTGACCTGATACCACTTGACATTGTCCTTCTCAACTGCCACACTGGGTGAGGACAAATTAGCTTCTTGCTCTGACTCTCCAGATCCACATTTGCCTTCTTTGCCCGAGCTCAGGAGGAGTTGGGTAAGTTCTGAGGCCTTGTGATGCCCAAGGCTGATCCGGAACAAAGCACTGGCAACAAACACACCTGGCAGGGCAACAGCTAAATCCATCCATGACTTGCATCTCTGGAGAGGATTCAGGTAGGAGAGCTGAGCTCTGGATAACATCTGTTCTACCAATTAAAACTTTAATTGGGATTGCAGAGCCTCATACACTTCGAATCAGGATGGAAGGTGCACTGTGAACACTTGGCTCCATCACAAAACAATGACACTTTCAAACTCTGCACATCAACTCTGATTTTCATTACCCTTCATGGACTTGGGGGGTCCAGAAAAATCAAAGAACTGAGACAAAAAAGCAGGTAATTACTGGCCTATCCACCTCATATTGATCAGGACCATATCACAGAGCAGATGATAGAAGACTCTATTAAAACAGAATTAGTGGAGAATAATAGAATTCATGTCCAGCAACATGGATTGAAAGAAAACAGATCTTGGCTAAGGTATTCCCATGAAGGTGACAGATTTCACCTTAAAAAAAAAACAGAAAAGGAGAAAGTTTTATGTCCACTAAGGATGTGACAAAAGGCAAAACACTACAAGTCAACATGGCATCTCCTGAGAGAGCTCTGGGCAGGAGTATGACAACATTGTACCAGCCTTGAGAAAACCACCACACTGGATTTTGCTATGCCCCAGAGGTCTCAATTCCTCTTTTTGTCCTCTGTATTCCAAGAGATGTACAAGATTATCCCAGAATCCTTTCTTTGGTTCATCTAACTTTCAGTCTAAGTTCAATCCACCTTCATTTTTAAAACAACAGTAATTAGGAGAAGCTTAATCAGATGATGAAAGCACATGACAGTGTTGATGCTCAGAGAAGTTGTGGATGTTCCTGGCACTGGCACAGGTTGTCCAGAGCAGCTGTGGCTGCTCCATCCCTGGGAGTGTTCCAGGCCAGGTTGGATGGGGCTTGGAGCAGCCTGGGCTGGGGGAGGTGTCCCTGCCCAGGGCAGGGAGTGGGATGACATGAGCTTTAAAGTCCCTTCCAATCCAAACCACTCTGTGATTCCATGAGTCTATTCCCTGCATCTCTTTGGCACATGATCCTCCTGATATGACTGAGAAGTTGGTAAAACACGGATGGCCCAGTCTGATCCAGAGGATAATGAGTCAACTGTACTCCAAAAAGGACCAAAACACAGTGACCTTCATGAGAAAGGTGTAATTACCACCTGCCTCAAGGAGGGCACAAAATAAAGGATATTCCTGAAAGATTAAATCCCACTATCAGTCTGACCGGACTTTTTGTTCATGCAGCATCTAAAAAGGTCAAGGAGGAGTTGAACAGGTAATTGAGTGCAGATTTCTGCTCTGCAATTATAATTTAGTCAAGCCTCGGTGGCTCTGCATACTTTGGGGGAGGGGAAGATCCAGTCAGAAATTTAGAACTGAAGGAAGCTAAACATTTTAACATCACAAAGAGAGAGGAACTATTCCCTCTACACCACCTCCCACAGCATCCTGTGGCTCAGGGAAGGATTCTGCCACACAGGGCTGTGCTGAGCCCACCTGAGCTGAGCTCCTGCAGCCCAAACTGGCACATCAAACCCAGCAGCAGCAAGGAGAGGAGCAAAAAAACCTCACAACAAGGCAGCATGCTGCTGAAATACCAACCATGTTAGCTCCTGGGT